ATTTACACCTTGGGAAACCTGTAGTGATGGAGAATCCGGCTGTACTGATGATTGTGATCTCAATATTTACGGCCAGAACATCTGTATTTCTGAATATGGGAAGAAGAAAATGTGTGCATTGCATTTGGTCTCCAAAATGCTTTTGGTGTGCTCCTCCCTAATGCCCTTTTCCAATATGGTATGAAATGTCCTAAGGTTTAGAGCAGCAGTCCCCAACCTTTTTTGCACCAGAGACTGGTTTCGTGGAAGACAATTTGGGGGGGAGGGGAGGAGCTTGTAACCTAGATCCTTTGCATGTGCAGTTTACAGTAGGGTTCATACTCCTGTAAGAATCTAATGCCTGATAATCTGAGGTGGAGCTGAGGTGGTGATGTTAAGGCTGGGGAACAGCTGCAAATACAGACAAAGCTTTGCTCACCTCCAGCTGTGCGGCCTGGTTCCTAACATGCCATGGACCAGGATTGGTCCATGGACCAGGGGTTGGGGACAGCTGCCTTTGTATAGAGACCATTTGCAGTTACAATGGTGATAAAGTAACTTTACAGCTAATCCTCATATTTATAACCTTTGCAAGTCTGTAAAGCAAAGAAGAAGTATGTAAGATGAGGGGCCTGGGGGGTTATGTCTTTTGAAAATGGCTAAAGGAACTGGGTATGTTTTGCTGAGAAGTTTGAGGGGAGAGAAAAGAGCAGTCTTCCAACATTTGAAGGCTGTCCTGGGGGAGAGGGTGTTGGTTTATTTTCCATAAAGAGTAGGCAAGAAGTGATGGCTGAGAGCTCACCCAGAGGGAGATGCAATCTGGAAATAAGGACAACTATTGAGCAGTGGAACAGCTTGCCTCACAGATTTGTGGGTGTTCCATTGATGGATGTTTTCAAGAAAAGATTGGACAACCGTTTGTCCATGATGATATGAAGACTCCTGTTTTGGACTGAGATTGGACTAAAAGATCTCCAAAGTCTCTTCCAACTCTATGATTTTAAGATCATAAGCACAGTTGCAATTTTGCTTATCAACCACTTTCCTTAATGATCAAGCTGCTTGTGGTCTCTAAATAAGAACTTCATATATTCTGCAAATATTTTCATAGGTAAAATTTTCAAGATGGGCTGCTGCCATCCTGTACTTATTAAACTGATTTCTTGTTTAAGTGAAGAATCTTGCATATATGTGTTCAATTTTGTTCTGTTAGTTTCAACTCATTTTTCAAAAGAATCAAGATTATTTTTGATGCACATGCTGTACATTTCAGCTATCTACAAATTGGATAGGTATTCTTCACGTCTTCATCTCATTAAAAATGGATGTAATGACTATACCAGTCATGATGTTGATAATGGCTAGAAAAGGCATAGAGGAAGGAGAAATACCTTTGGGCAGAGCTAGTGAGATAAAGACTAAGTTCTTCGTCTGGAACCAGAAATCCCCAGTCTAATTCCCCAGATCCTACCCTGAAATGATTCAGTGGGCATTTCTTTAGGTAAAAACTGAGAAATAAAATATATCCATTAAAAAAAAATCCATGGTCATCTATGTCCATTAGAACTTTAGCAAAATGCTTTTACTTGCATCTTGGTAACAGTCATTTTGTGGGCAAGAATAACAATTGCTTGCAATACCCCACTTCCTTTTTCACTACAGTATAGCCAAATGGGGAAGAGGCCTGTTTGTACCACTCAAATTGATTTCCTCTAAGTTCATTGCATCAGCTCCTCTTTGCTGTTCCTTCAGCAGCAACCTGCCTTGTGAACAGCTTTGTTGCTTGCCCCAACTAACGGTTTCTGCTGAAGGAACTTGCTTCATCAGCTCTTCTGTGACACACAAGGAGGAGAGTAGGCTAACTGTTTAGCTTCTGTGGTTGGGTTAAGTTCCTTTTCTGATGATCTCTGTTGCTGGTGAAAGCACTTATGACCAATCTTTGTCTCCCTCTTTCTTTAACAGCTACACAATAGTTAGAAAGTTGCAGTTTCCAGGTGCCCATCAATAGTCTATATAGATAGGGTTTCCCAAATTTTGAGATCTACCTTCCTTGAGTATCTCTTTCTACATTGCAGAAATGATGCCAACAGAGGCAGCAACTCTGGACAGCAGTTATGAAGAGATATAGGAAAGCCAGTTCTATTCTAATATGTTGTTAAGAGGGCCATTACCCCTGAGTTGCAAATACCTGGATAGGTAGCAAATTAGATCTTGGCTTTCATTTAGCAATCATCTTTTGCAGCCTAGATTTAGTGGTTCTATTATTATCATGGTACTCATGAGGAAAGGGAGCACCGATCCTATAATAGAAAACAGGTATCAATATGCTTGTGGTAAAAAACTAAAACTAACACATTTTTTTTTAGTGAGAAACCCTTTCCTCATAGCAATTATAGGAGAAATCCTTAAGATGTTTTTGGTGGAGCTGCCTTGACAGATGTTGCTTTTCCAAAGCGAGCCATTGGCACAGCAGGTCCGAAACTTCAAAGTGGGACACAAAAGAGTCAGATGGTTTCTTGTGGTTTGAACAGACTCTTGGCAAGACATTGCACAAGAACATCACTTAGTTGTAAGAACAGGTACAATGCATTGGGCAATTATTACTGGAAGCTGCTACTTATTGAATCTTAAGCATGAAAAGTTTTTGAGATATCCCTGCCTTAAAAGAGAATAGCAAGAGCAAAGAAAAGATAGCAGAGGAATCTCTGATTTGTTCAGCATGGATCCTAGAGAGAGGTTGTGCCGAACTAATTCAGAAAGTGTTATACTTCAATTGAAAAAGAAATAACTGTTAAGAAAACTGTTTCAAAAATGAAACTATTAGTAAATACCACTATCCTCTGATACACTTGACTTTTGAGGCTATTGGTTTGACTTATTGATCAAAGGAGTTTGTGAATATGTTACATGTTCCTTGTACCACACACTTTTCGCTTTTTAATCACTTTGAACATATAACACTATGCTATGAGATGCAGGTAGTCCTCAACTTACAACAGTTCATTTACAGACCATTCAAAGTTACAACGGCATTGAAAAAAGTAACTCATGACCATTTTTCACATGACCTTTGTAGCAGCCCCATGATCATGTGACCAAAATTCAGTTACCTGGCAACTGGTTCATACTTATGGCCATTGCTGTGCTCCAAGGTCATGTGATCACCTTTTGTTGTTGTTTTTTAATTTAAAACAAAAGCATTTTCCCGAGGGAAAGGTTGGTTATAATTAATTCCAAGATCTTATTTCAAATGTATTTGTAATTTTCTAAAATCAAAGATTTAATCACACTTTTGCTTTTTATTATTTTTTTAAAAAAGTTCTTAAATTTGTAGTTAAAACTTTCTTTTGCTAAGGACTGAAGGAAACTGTCAAACTTGGTGCTGTCAAACTTGTCAATCTAAAAGTTTTCAGTAGTTGAAAAGCAGTTGATAAGCAATTTCTGGATGTGATTTAGAAAAGGAAGCATACAAACTCAATGTCCTTTTCAAAGGCACCAACCACATTTTGAGTAAGGGGGGCATTCCTTCATTTCCCAGGGTTCTGTGCTCGCCAGAGAAGCAACTGTTTGGAACCCTTGGGGATGATCTCAAGTCTTCTCCTTGTCCAGAGAAAAATAATTGAAGAACTGGTCTACTCGCCTCTTCATTCTGCCTTGATCATTGGCTCTACTTTTCATAGAACTGTCTGCAGTCCACCATTTCTTTCTCCTCCCAGAGTCAATTGGGGCTCATGCAGCCCTTCAGTAAATTATTAAGTAAATAAAAGTTGAAGAATAAAAATATGCAAATTTAGAAAAAACATAACTATTCTTGGACTTCTGGAAAGCAATGATGAACTGAAGACTTTACTTTTAGCAGAGTTGATGACTGTAGTGGAAAATGGATCTGGTGAGTGAATTAGATCCCCAAAGTCCTCTCCAGATAAAGAAGAGGACTTAGGATCACCCAGAATGTTCCTCGCAGATGCTGTCTCTGATGAGACCAGGTGCCTCTAGGAGATTTTAGATTTTAGAGCTTTGGCAGCAAGAACAGTCATTTTTGCCCAAGCCATAGTTTCTTTGAGTTTCATGACATGGGGTGACTTTCCTTCAACGTGCAGCAAAAGAAGTTTTATGTAAGTTTAAAACTTAAAGAGAAAACTTTTATTTGGAAATAAGCAATAAAAGTTGATTAGAATGTTGATTTTGGAAAGCTTTTAAATGGCATGAGGGATCAGATGGACTGGAAGTAAGATTTGAAAAACATAAGGCATAGTTCCTGTATTTTGTTTAAAATCTTACTAATATGTATGAAAATGTTGAGTTTAAATGTAGAAAAATCTCTCCCTGGGAAAATGTGCTGAATGAAAGAAAAACATGATAACAGGAGACCTTGAAGGCTGGTTACCAGAGGCAACCAGAAAAAAATAAAGATTATAATTAAAGGAGAAGGCCACTAATATAGAATGGAAAAATTATTTTAACTGTGGAAGAATTCAAAGATATTGGCAACAACGTACCCAGAACTTTCTCTTTAGAGGATCATATAATAATAATTTTTACTGAAAATTGAAAATACAAAGAGAAAATTATTATTGAAAAAAAAGCAAAACCTAAACTATTTTTTATAATTAGTCTTGGGAGAGAAACAGGGCAGAGAACAAGTGAGACAATCCTATTATTAGATCAACTGAAACTGCACATATAAGCATACAATTTAACCAAATGCTCTTTGAGAAGGATTTTCCCACTTTGGTGCTATTTTGTCTTTCTCCCTCTATTTTTTTTTCCTAATATTTCTTTGAGGAGGAAACAGGACAATCACAAAAGGCAGATTATGTCATTTAGATATTTGGGAAAGTTCCATCATGAGGACAGGGTGGTCGTTCAACATCAATCTTAATTTAAAGAATGCTGTTCCCATCTTTACTTTTTGTATTCCTTCTCTAAGTATGACTAACCCTGTACTTTCCATGAAATAGAAAAACTTTTCCACACATGTTTAAAATCTCTCCTCCCCCCCCCCCATTTTTCTTTTCCAGCTGCAGAAGACAGGATATTGAGGGTTAGCTGGCACAGGAAATCGGGTCGAAGTCCACTTCAGACTCTTTACAAGGATGACCAGGTAAATGGACTTCAGAAAGCAAAGTAGTTGTATACAAAGAAAGAGAACAGGCTATTTATTTATTTATTTATTTATTTAATGTACATGCCACCCATCTTGGCAATCAATGTAACACTGGGTGGTTTTCAGTGCAATGAAATAGAAATATAAAATGCAATTATAAATAGGATGTTATCTGTTTAGTTGTGTCCGACTCTTAGAGATTCTATGGGCCAGGTCTCTCCACATCTCCCAAACTTAACTTTGTTCTGTGCTCTGGCTGATGACAGCTTTGATGGTGAATGACAAATAGAGAGACAATTAATAGCTGAAGAAAACTCTTTTTGCATGCAGAGAATGTGACCTTTCCTCCCCATCTCAGCAATTGCTATAAAGTTGTGTATATCGTTCTGTGAATTGGAGATTTGGACCCCGCCCACAGCTTTCACACACAAGTATTTTATTTGTAAAGTTTTTTGAGAGCCAAATAGGGTAGGTTTTCTCCACCTAATTTGGAAATACAGGATAATCCCTATGGGTGAAAGTAAGCCTTCTGTCACTGAATTCCTCATGTCCTTTTCCTTACCCTTTTGGCTGTGCAGATGTAAGAAAATAATCGGGATACACACACAAAGAAAAGCATGGAGGCCAAGTTGCTAATCCAGTCAGTACCTTTTGAACACTGGCATATAGTAAGAAGAGATGTCAGCATCTCTTTTTTAATACCTGCCAAACCATCTATTATATTGCTAAGTGATGTTGATAACTAGTCCTAGAATGAGTTGAGTTGTCTAGAATGCCAATTTTTTGTTTTAGAAATTGAATCATTCCAGATCTATTCTACTTGTCATTTTTTTTACAAACCAAAATTGGGGGATACTAACTCTCTTTGTCTCAGAAATAAGAGCTGGTTATAACCGAGAACTGAGAAAATAACTAAATGAAAGTGACTAAATGAACACCCACAGAGAGGAGTAATATATCCAGAATAACAAACTTGCCTACATATTTAAAGAATATTGCAAATGCAAATGTTTATCTAATTTGCTAACTTTAAGAGATTTCCCCTTCATGGATTACTGCCTTGTCATGGGGAAGGGGCTTGCGTAATTCAATGAAGCTATGAGCTATGCCGTGCAGGGCCACCCAAGATGGACAGGTCATAGCAGAGAGTTCTGACAAAATGTGATCCACTGGAAAAGGAAATGGCAACCCATTCCAGTATCTTTGCCATGAAAACCCCATAGACAGTACCAAAAGGCAAAAAGATATGACACCGGACAGGAAGGCCTGGAGGAACGTTGTCCATGGGGTCGCGATGGGTCGGACATGACTTCGCAACTCACAACAACAAAAAGAGGTTTACTTTAGAACTGTGAACTCAACCCTAAAAAAATTGTCCTGCTAGGCATCTTAAAAATCTACTGGCTACTGCAGCCACCTACAAACAGAAAAGCAGATTGTGAAATTGTGAAATTCTCCAGGATCTCCTACTATGAAGTGCTTGTGGGTCTCAGAGCTCTATTGGTAGTTTGACGTGAATTCTGCCTAACAGGATTTCATGATGAAAGTTGGGAATCCTGGCCTGATGTAAAACAAAGCATGGCATCAGTGAATAACAATCTGCAACACCTTGTATAGATCTTCAGGTTCACTAAACAACGGTGAATGCAAATAGAACTTCAAATAAACTTTTTGTGCAATAGCATAACAGGTGGGTAGTACTTGGATGGAAGACTGCCGAGTGCTCCCAGGGCAATAAGCTTATATTGGGGAGCAGAGAAAAAAAATCACCTGGAAGAAAGAGAGGGCAAACCACTTTCATATGCTGCCAAGAAAACTACATGGACCTCTCTGTGAAGTAACTTGAAAAGCAGAAATATCTCACATTCAGCGTCTAAAAAGCGATAAAATATGGGGAGGGGGAGGAATGAAGGAATAATAAAAACAATAAGATCCTATGACACTTCCAAGAATGAAATACATAATCTTGAGATAATATAGGAAAAGGATTAGATAAAACTATCACTGTGATACCTCTCTGAATACCTGCCCATCTTCCTACCTTGCCTTTCTTCCTTTTTAAGACTCTTTTAATGAGAAGTAATGATTTGAATAGGCGGGTTGCAAAGCAATGAACCAAACTTTAGCATAATCTTTATTTCCAGCCATGCTTCAGGTTTGTATGAAAAAAATAAAATGGTGGATCTTCAGGTTTCTATGAAGTCTTCAGGTTTCTATGAAAAAATAAAATGGCGGGTAACCATATCTCAGTTCTTTGGTTATAAGTGTGCCCATCTGCTTTCAGGGAGGGGAGTGAAGGAGGGGAGGAGTATTCTAGAGAATTGGGGGTTGGGCTAGCAGGCAAATCTTACCTGTTTGCCTTCTGGTGAAAAGCTGTTTTGTAATTGGCTGCAGCCATTGTCTTATAAAAAGAATGTGCCCCGCCACTAAAAGTCATTGAACAAGAGGGCACATATCACGTGTGCTCCGCATCCTAAATGTGCCCACCCACCCCTGACCTAAGAGTGTGTGCATCTGAAGAAGTGTACTTACGAAGTTTATGGCATACTAAATGTGCTCATCTGTCTCTCTTTATGAAAGGAGAGCTTTATATATATTTAGTCAAACTGCAAATAAGCACCTTGTTTTAACTATAATTAGGAGGAAGGAAAAGTTTTTGTCCCTATAAACAGGTTCTACTTTATGCTTTTATAAGGAAAGTTCAAAAGATATCTGAAGTCCATACATGGATAGTATCTTTCCCAGAACCAAAATGTTGCAAAAGGCCCTAAAAGTTTCAGGGATTTTTCTGAACTTTTCATTAGGTGAAGTGCTACAAAATGTCAGATAGACAGGGAAGAATTAAAAAAAAGAAGGAAAGAAGTCCACCATTAGCCAGAAGTTATAGGAAATCAAGAATAAACTCCAAGAAAGAAAGGTATTTCCTGATTTTGTCGTGAGTCATACCTTCAAGAGCCAAGCTGAAATCCCTGGTGACCTGAGGCACCCTTTTCTCCTAGGAAAGGTCTCCAATTATGGGAAGAAATGAAACTTGAAATAGCCAAGGGCAAATCATGGAGATAGACCTACATTTACAGTATTTTGGTCCAAGAGTATTTTGCTGCGGCTAAGAGCACTCAGCTGGGCATTTGGTGTAGGCCTTGATGCCCCTCCATACTAAACCAATGCATTTTAACATTGTTCATATCTATCATTCCATATCACTAAAACAAAATCAGAGATGATTGAGGAAAGGAAAGAAGCAACAGAGTCCTTCATTCAGAGGACATATCGATGTTATTTGGAAACCTTGAAAGAGCTGATGACAAATAGTATGGGAGTATTTCCATTCAGAATCCACATTTTGATGGATAGGTAAATTTTGAATTTATACCCCTCTCCTCAGTGTAGACAGATACATTCAGTTGAAATATCAATCATAGAAGCAATTAAGTTCAAAATAAATGGAACCTGTTTAGACCCTTACCATTTCCCCTCACTGTTGCTGCTCCTTAACAGCATTTCTAAGACTGAAAATGAGATACAGTATAGGAAAATTGGTTAAGTAATCTGCTTTCTAAACTGGTCCTTCCCAGTCTGATGACCTAGAATTTGTGGGCTCCAAATCTCAGATTTTGACTTTCTAGTTGGGAATTCTGAGGTTACAGTCATGTTCCACCTGAAAGGACCCCCGGGTTTACCCAGTTTTTACTTTCTGTTAACCTTTAATTCCTCACTATTAAAGGGTAAGAGCACCACTTTAAGGAGCAATTATAACCAAAGTTAAGACTACTGATGAATCTTAAAGGTGTCCAAAGATATCAGCTCCTGTGTATAGGTATCGGCAGCATGTAGGGGAGAGTATTCTTGGGATCTAATGAAAGGAGCTTGGCACATAGCATGAAGTGACTCCTGTTCCTCCTTATGTCCTTGTCTCATGTCTCCTCAGCTTGAGCAATCTTCCCTGCAGGCAACTCATCGGCACAGGAGAGAGCTGCTAAGCAGTATGTGCCATCGTTATACCCGCAAGCGACGCCTCCTAACTCCAGATGACTTGCGGCACCTGGTGGTGGATGATGTTCATGAGCTGCTCTACTGCTATGTCCCCAAGGTGGCTTGCACTAATTGGAAGAGGGTCTTGATGGTCTTGACAGGGCAGGGCAAGTACCAGGACCCCCTGGAAATCCCAGCACATGAAGCTCATGTACCTGCCAACCTTCGCACTCTCTCCGAGTACAGCACTCCTGAGATCAACTACCGCTTGCGCAACTACCTCAAGTTCATCTTTGTACGGGAGCCTCTGGAACGGCTGGTCTCAGCCTACCGTAACAAATTCACCCGTAGCTACAACACGGCATTCCATAAGCGCTACGGGACCAAGATAATCCGGCGGCACCGTCAGGACCCTAGCAGCGAGGCCCTGGAAAGTGGCGATGACGTGCGTTTTGAGGAGTTTGTGTACTATCTGTTGGATCCAAAGACCCAGCGTGAGGAGCCTTTCAACGAACATTGGGAGCGAGTGCACTCCCTTTGCCATCCATGCATTGTCCATTATGATATCATTGGCAAGTATGAGACCTTGACTGACGATGCCAACTATATCTTGCAATTGGTTGGGGCTGATGCAGGCATCAAGTTCCCCTCCTCGTCTAAGACCATCAGAACCAACAATAACCTGACTGCAAAGTTCTTCAAGAATATCAGCCCCTTCTACCAAAGAAGATTATTTAATTTATACAAGATGGATTACTTGCTCTTCAATTACACCATCCCTTCTTATTTACATCTACGATGAGGCTGGTGACAGACCCTTTCCTCATCGTTTCTGCTGTCAACCAACAGACATGGATATGAGATGCTTACAGATCTACCTATGCCCGTTTTTTTATATGTTTGATCAGCACACAGAGTTCTCTCCGTATTTTGTTCCTGTTTCAGTAGACAGAATCTAGGATGGTTTGTCTATCCTTCCTCCTGTTCTTAACCAAACAGCATTTGTTTCTAGGAAGCACTGGAACTATGTCCTTTTGTCAGGAGGTGGGAGAATCTGTGTGGAAGTAGGAGACATAATAAAATGTGCATGCATTTAGTGTGTTCAGTTATAATCCCCTCGCACCTCTCTCTTCTCCACACTGATGGAGGAAAGGGGAATATGAGCCAGAAGTGTCTAACTGCAAACAGAGGCAGAATTGTCTATGAGATAAGAGTCTTCTGTGTCTTCCCCTTTTACCATCCTTGCAGCTGGTGTTTCAGAGAACTGTATTTTCTTGGAAACAACACCCCCCCCCCCCCCGCATTTTCCTATCACGTTCTGCTGCCATGCAGTTTCCATCAATTTGCACTGGAGTGACGCTTAGTGGATTGCCCACTTGTCTGTGCAGATTTGTCTGTGTGAGAAGATCTTGACCAAAAGAAATATTTAATTATTTGCCTTGGCCTTTTTTTTTTTTTTCATGTGAATATGTTTTGGGTATGTGCAAATATTGTTGTGGTGTCCTGTTTTATGTAGGCCTAATCAAACTATGCTCCAGAATCAAGCTCTTCAGTTTAATTAGTGGACCCTCATTCAGATGGGAGAAATGAACTCCCGTAGAACTGTATTTTTTGTAGGTGATACCAAAGACACTGGGAGGGCACCAGGCTTGGGCAGTGTCCACTTGACTAGAATTCTTATATATGAAACTGGATTGAGCTCAGAGAGAGTTTTAAGAAGAGAACCGATTGTTCTTGTGGAACAGGCATTCCCCAGATATGTTTGACCAAAACCTGTCTTCTCTTGCCAGTATGACAGCACTCATTGGTGATAATGGGAATTTGGCACATTTGGAGAGCACTGAGTTGTGAAAGCTGAACAGAGCATTGATCAGAGGTTCTGCTGTGCCTTTAAATAGTATCGCCCCAGAAGACATATCTTGAGTTAATCATTAACAGTGCCTTTTTTCGTAGAGCATTGCTATAGTGTCTCAGTCATGTTTTCTGTCTAAAATAGCTGTCTCCTTTTTCTAAGCGGGAGCATCTGTTTTCCTGTAGAAATCAGGGTATGGCTGCAGAGACAGATTGCATGTGGACTTGGGCTGTACAGAGAGAAACAGAAATTTAACTGGTAAAATTGGAGGGTTGTACTTGAAGCGACAATCCTAGAAGACCACATTTAATTCAGTCCACCTGGACAGCTTTGCTTAAGTTGGCATTTTTGTCTCCACATGGTTACATTTCTATGTATACCAAAATATATGCCCTCATTTATGTAAATTGGTTGGAAGTGGAGTTATTGTACAACAGCATTCCCAACTTAGTGCCTTCTGGATGTGTTGGCTTTTAACACCCATAAGTCCCACTAAGCATGTTCAGACTGTCTGGGAATCGGGGGAATTCAAATCTAATACAGATTCTGTCGGAATAATTTGATTTATGCAATACGCTACTGAATGTACTTGTTTGCATGAAGTATTATAGGGCATACATATTAAAGACATGATTTGGTTCTGCTGATTCCTGCTGTATGAATGTGGCATTTCCACCCCGTAGTTGCTTGCTTTTATTAGGAGAGAATGAATTAATTCCCAAGAGAGGATTGAATAGTTCAGAGTTTGAATTAGTCCGTTCACTTGTGCAGCACCCCAGTATCAATGCAAGCTTTAATTTTAGGTAGCTTAGATTCTGACCATGGCTTTTTCTTACGATGAGACATTTGGCAATAAGACTGAGTGTTCTTATGGGTGGAATGATGTGACAGGAGGGCAAGGAACTTTGTGATTAATTCAGAATTCTAATTCAAATCTGTCTCCAATTGTCAGCTTTGCAAAATAGGCCAGACTAGAAGCACCCTCAGATGAACTAGATCTAACATTATTATTGTAAGATTACATTAACTAGAATCTTGTAAGTCTGAAAATACCTCTCTCCCCCATATTTATAATCAAGGAGGGTCCCTTCTGAGATGTTGGCCTCACACTCATTTCTTCTGCTGATTCAGCTGTCTCTTATCTAACTGTTGCCTAGTCTGCTTTTCTTTCTCCTGTCTCCAAAGTCATTCATGCACACCACTGCATCCAGTTTGCAATCTCTGGGATATGTAGCTAGCTTATTGGCTGGGAATTCTGCATGTTTGATCCCAGCATATATAGGAAAGGCACCAGCTTGGGAAGGGTGTTATTTACTTTGCAAGTATGTAATTACTGTACACTAACATGTAACCAGTGATGCTGTCTGCTCCTTAGTTTGCAACTTTCCCATTGCTTGACAATTAATTAATTACATTTAAAGTACCAATGAATTAGAAATCTATATTATTTAAAAATTGAACTAGGCAATTGTAGTAATCTCCTCAAAAGATTGTCTAAAACAGTGGTTCTCAACCTGTGGGTCGGGACCCCATTTGGGGTCGAACGACCATTTCACGGGGGTCACCAAACCATGCTGTCCGCCATTTTTTTCCCTTTTCCTTAGCTGTGCTACTCCCTTTTATTCTACTGGCTTTTGAAAGCCAATAGAATAGACTCTCTTGAATAGAGTCTAATTCTATTGGTTTTCAAAAGCCAATAGGAATTGTCCAGGCTGTCTCTGCCATGCTGAGCCTGCCAAAAGTCCCATTCTGCAAACTGCTGCACCAGTTGAGTAGTCCTCGACTTACGACCGGTTGAGTAGTCCTCGACTTACGACTAGTTGGGGGTCGCGGCATTAAAAAGGTTGAGAACCACTGGTCTAAAAGCATCAGGAATAAAACTTAAAATGTGAGCCAATATAAAAAATTCAGGGATCAGTGAAATATGAGAAGAAAACTTTGTTACCTAGTGATTAAACTTACTTTTAAAAATAAACATAGCTAGGACTATTATGTTATTTAGATAAAAATTCCATTGGCATATTTACTTCTAGTAAATTGATATTTATTCTTGTTCTGAACACATGTTTCTGCTAAAGTGAACAGTTCCACCCAAAATTATTTCCATTGGTGAAGTAGCCTGCAATCTTCTCTCTTCCTCCCTGGGAAATCATACTAAAGTGAATAGTATTTACCTTTGAGTAGGCAACTATAAGATTATGCTGTTGGACATAGGAAAAAAACCAGCAGAACCTGCATATGCTCAGGAACATTGCAGATTTTTTTTTAATGACTAGCTTGTGATTTGGTTTATTTGTTTTTAAATCCAACATTTTTGTTTATCTCAGTGGTAGCTTATCAGTTATTTTAACTTGTGAAGATAAAATGCAATGGGCAATTGAGAATCATATTCATCACTGAAATCCTAGCAGAAAAACAGAATACAAATGTAATAAGACATAACAATAGTATAATCAGGGAAAACAGTTAACATGCAGAATATAAATATAAACTGCATCAGGAACTTCAAATAATTTTAACAAGACAAATGTGTTAAGCAAGTGACCTCTCTAAAACAGACATGTCAAACTCGCAACGTCACAGGACAGTTTTGCCATTGCCGGCAATCAGGTGGGCGTGGCTTCCACGTGACGCATCCGGCCTGTACGCCGGCAGTTTGACATCCCTGCTCTAAAAACACACAAACCACCAAGAACCATCACTGATTGAAAGCCATCATTGCAGATGAGGCCTAGCTGCTTCACCACCAAACATTTGACATTAATAGAAGTGAAACTTCAGATATTGGTCTCAGATGTTCAGGAAGGTTATGTCCTGATTTATGTACTTTAGCTGAAGTTTATAAGGTAGTAACTGAACCAATATTATCAGAAAAATGACATGAAATCATAAGAGACGGTTAGTTTATGCATTTTTGTCCTGTAAGCAACAGGCTGTTTCTATCATATGCATTGAATTAGATTGAATTAGAAAATTGAATTAGAAAGTGATTAGGGTTTGTTTAATACCCTTGAGCCAAGACTGATTCATGCCAAGTGGCTTGTCAAGTCCCTGCAGTTTTCTTGGCATGATTTTTTTTCCTAGAAGTGATTTGCCATTGTCTCTTTCCTGAGGCAGAGAGAGAGAAAGAGAAAGAGGGAGGGAGGGAGGGAGGGAGAGAGAGAGAGAGAGAGAGAGAGAGAGAGAGAGAGAGTGAGAGAGAGAGAGAGAGAGAGAGAGAGAGAGAGAGAGAGAGAGAGAGTGAGAGAGAGAGAGAGAGAGAGAGAGAGAGAATGTGACAGGCCCAATGCCACCCAGCTGTCTTAGTGCCTAAGGCAGGACAAGAATTCCCAGTCTTCAGCTTTCTAGCCTGGTGCCTTTAACCACAATCTCACAAACTGATTCAGACGGGAGATGCATCTGTCGAGTGCAAAATACCCATTTCAAGTGAGATGTATCTGGTTTCAAATTTGGGGTGGCTTTTTCAATAATTTTGGAAGTAATTCAAGCCTGAAATGTTTATAGATTGAAGAAAACAGCCCATTTCTACACGTGAATCAGTTATTTGTTCTGCAAGTAAAATGGTTCAAACAACAAAACCATTCAAATTAAAAATGCACAGTCCTACTGCAAGTACATGTGCACATTGCTGCCTGATGAAAAATAGAGGTAATGAAAATGCAAAAAAGTGGGGGGGGGATGAGAAAAGAAAAAACCACATCCTGTGGTAATAACATTCACATGCTTATTCTGAAAGAAATCGTAAAAGCACAGAGAAGTTTACTGGTTATATTTATGGGATGAACTGAAATGAACTCCTGAACTGAAAACTAATCTAGGAACCTTGCACGTGAGATTTTAGAGTTCCATTTCTAATGAGATTGAATAAATCTTGACTAACTTCGGGCAAGCATGCCCTGTGAAGGCAACCAAATTTTGAATGTGCATGGGGGATGGCATTATTTTGTTACTAAGATTTCTCTACCCTTCATTCAGACTGCTGTTAAGAAGTGTATAGGATAAACAAAGTTTAGAAACGAATGATAGCATCATCCATAGTAGTGCCATCCACCAGTGGCAAGTCCAAACTTAACCCCCTCCCCCCAAAAAAAAATGTGCTATCCCACAACAAGGTTTTCACAAGCTTGTGGAAACTCATCAGGGAAATGGAGGGCTGTGTCCAGGAGGACAAGCTGTTCTCCATTGAAAAGGTTCAGCTACAGGATCTCTGCTGCTGGAAATATTCTACATCAGTGTTTCTCAACCCTGACAATTTTAAGGCATGTGGACTTCAACTCCCAGAATTCCACAGCCAGCATTGCTGGCTGTGGAATTCTGGGATTTGAAGTCCACATGCCTTAAAATTGTCAAGGTTGAGAAACACTGTTCTACATTAAGGCATATACAGAAACACACACACACACACACTAGAGAAGCCAATCTATCAAGTGTCACTTGTCATTGTTCTTGGCATGTAGCAGTCGATTGGTGCTCCTCTCGGCTTGGAAAGGAAGGGGTCGGAAGAGCAATTTCTCTCATCTTTGCAGCTCACCAGTGGAAGGAGTCCCAAAGTCCAGATTTCTTTCTTCCCTTAGTTCCACTAAGGCTTGGATATCCATTTATGTTAGAAGTGAAAGGAAACTATACATTCCAGGGTTTCTCCCAGTGGCTCTGATTCTTTTGTGAGGGGCTCTTTCTTTCAAACCTTGGGCTCCTTTTTCTTTCTGAACATTGCATTAGCTTCGTTATTTATTAAAATTATTTATGTGTTAGATTATATCCACCTTTTCCTGCCGGAGCTTAGGGTGAGGTACTTTAGGCACTCCACAGCCATGCCAAAATCCAAAGTCACAATTTTCTGTCTCTTTGCTACCATCCAGTGGTCTTATAAATTACTGCAGCTCAGATTTGGTATGTCCACCATAGGTAGCATTTTCCTTTCCTCTCCCCTCCCTTCAATAAAGCCTCTGTGGGTAGGTTGGGCTGAAAGAGCATGAGTGACCTAAATCTTTCATGACTGACAGTAGACTTGAACCTGGATCTTCCTTACCCCAGAGTAACATCTTGATTCCTTTGTTGGTCTTTAAAGTCTTCCCAAAACTCTTCTTCTGTTTCCAGGCAAGGCTGTTACCACACAATAACCTTCCTTCAGTGATGGAACTTTATAGGCCATCCAGATGTCATCATTTTCCACTTGTAATTTAATTTTACCCTTTCTTTTAGCTGTTCTCTTACCACACACACAGAGAGACACATTTGTTAAGGATGGAAGAATGGAGTAATTATTCGGTGCCTTTTGACTTGTCCATCTGGAAACATGCTTTTACTGCTATAATTTTTACAGGAGTTTTTTTGTTCAATACTCCTACAGTTAAATATAAATTTCTGGTACTTATAATATCTAGAAACCATATAGAGCTATAAGGACATCTTAAGGTCAGAGTGATGAACTGCAGCCATTTTAAAGAGGAATGTACTAGTTCTTTATGCAGTAAGATGCCAATTCTTTTTCTTAAATGTTTTGCTTTTTGCACATCGCCTGATGAAGAGTTCTGGAGAACATGAAAGCTTGCAAAAATATTTGTGTTAATTTTATTTAATCCTAATAAATATCTTACCTAATAAATATCTTAATGGATTTGGGTTCTTTTTTCCTTTCTTAAATTGACCATTTTTTTTTAGTTATATGTTTATTTTTTAATGTGATTTACTACATTGTAATTACAGGTTTGTTCTCTGCTAGATTCCTTTCCAGTATTGAAACTGACTGGGAAGTCTCACCATTTCCACTTGACAAGCCAGCAAACATTTCTATGAGAGTCATTATTGGATGATAGCATGTCACAACAACACATTTCAACAAGATTTTTTTTTTTTTTTAAATGGGATGCTTGCTATTTGGATTGTGTGGTATTCTCAGTTCCATTCAGGAAGGAGCCTTTGAGAAGTGTGGAGCTATGGGATCCTGGAAACTTTCTTGAATCACAAAGAAATGCTGCATTGAGGCACCCACATATTCAAACCAACTTTTCCAAACTTAATCCAAAGCACTGCACACCCCTACTTGTTTTGCAGTTGAACAGGGTCACTCTAGAAAAAACAGGGAAAACATAGGCGACATCTTGTCCAGTATTACCAATCTTGCTGAACATTTACCTCCAACACACGTACATGTAGGGACTATCATTGAAAGGGGAAATAATTCGTGTTGCTGTTTGGCTGCTTAAACCAGTTTTCTCCAATATGATATTTTCCAGATGTGATGAGACTGCATCTCATTGAATTTTCAGATAGTCTGCTTGTACCAGCTGGCAATATTAAGAACTACTATAATTTCATCACATCTACAGTGGATCAGATTAGGGAGGACTATTTTAGATGTTTCATTTAGGACAAAGAGATGCAACAAAGCTCTGTAGCATTTTGAATTCAGAGGGAAAAGATGCTTCGCATAGCATTTGTTGGTGGCTCTTTGGAAAACTTACATGTTTTCCGTGATGGTGCTCCATAACTTTTTTTTGTCTGTTTTTGCCACTGGTGGGGGAGTTTGGTTACTGTTCTCTCTAGTTGAGATTTTATTTTGGGTTTTATTGTTGATTGTATTTTTTGTATATGCCCTGTGAACCTAC